TCTCTCCTGCCCGGGCTGGCTTTGAACCACGATCCTCAGATCTCAGCCTCCTGAGTAGCTAGGATTACAGGTGTGAGCCACCAGCGCCCGGCACTTTTTTTTTTTTTTTAATCATTTGTTTCTGCTGGTCCTGGGGCTTGAACTCTGGGTCTGGGTGCTGTCTCTGAGTTTTTGTGTTCAAGACTAGTGCATTACCACTTTAACCACAGCTCCATTTCTAGTTTTTCTGGTTATTAATTGGAGATAACTGTCGTGGACTTTCCTGCCCAAGGCTGGCTTTGAATCTCAATCCTCAGATCTAAGCCTCCTGAATATAGGATCACAGGCGTGAGCCACTAGTGCCCAGCACTTTGTTTTTAAAGCCAGAGCTGCAGGAGACTGGAATCCTTTAGACTCTTAAGATCTTAACGCAGGCACTCTTGTCATGTAGCCCCATCCAAAATTGGGCTGGTAGGCATAGGTCTGTGCTGAGGATCCAGTGGTTCTACACACAGGGCCTGTGGCTTTCTCCAGTGACAGCTGTAACTGTGTGTATCCCGGTGTAATCCTGTTGGGCCCTCTAGCGCTTCCAGTGGAGGCTCAGCTTGGGCTGCATGTCAGACTGGCCAGAGGTGAAGTAAGGCCTTTGTCTGCAGGTACCGAGCCCCCGAGCTGCTGTTAGGAACCACCACCCAGACCACCAGCATCGATATGTGGTAAGCTTGGCTGGTGCTCCAGGACAGGGGCAGGAGTGGGGCCGGAGTGTTTGCCAGCCCCCAGGGACTGGGCCTGCCTGGGATCCAAGAGGAAGCATGAGAATGCAGCTTGAGTGTTTGCACTCAGGTGTGCAGAAGGCAGGCCTGCCCTTGTCACTTGTCCTGTGGGGAGCTTGGCAGTTGTCTGTCCCTCCCCTCACGGGCACCATGACATGGTGTGGAGGCCTGGCTGCTCTTCCTGCAGGGCTGTGGGCTGCATCCTGGCTGAGCTGCTGGCCCATAAGCCTCTCCTCCCTGGCACTTCTGAGATCCACCAGATTGACCTGATTGTACAGCTGCTGGGGACACCCAGTGAGAACATCTGGCCGGTGGGTGCCCTGTGCAGTCGTGAACCTCTGTATGTCTGGGCCTGGCCCCACTGTGGCTTTATCTACTACCCCCCACAGGGTTTTTCCAAGCTCCCCCTGGCCAACCAGTACAGCCTGCGAAAGCAGCCCTACAACAACCTCAAGCACAAGTTCCCATGGCTGTCAGAGGCTGGACTGCGCCTGCTCAACTTCCTGTTCATGTATGACCCCAAGAAAAGGTGTGATGCTGGTTTGAGTCCCCGTGTGTGCGTGTGTTATGTATGTGTCTGTTTTGTGTGTGTGTATGATGCACGTGCAGGTGACATTGCAGCTTGAACTCAGACAGGGGTGTCCACCCTGCTTTTTCATTCACAGCTAACACGCTAGCACTTGAGTCACACTTTCAGTCCCCCTTATTTTCTGTGGTGCTTGGGATTGAACCTAGGACCCTTACATGCAAGTGTTGTACTATTGAGCTACACCCAAATCCAACTAAAAACGTCTGTTTGTTGGTGGTTTCTCAGAAGATGGGCTAGACATTCCTCCTCAGACATGTAGCTGCCTGTACACCAGGCACCCCATTTGCTCTCCTGGGTTATTGGAGTCCAGTCTGGAGCTCTTGTCAGTTTTGGGCCCCCAGCCTATTTTTCTATTTTGCCCGTCCTGGGGCTTGAACTCAGGGCTGGGCTCTGCCCGAGCTGCTTTTGCTCAAGGCTAGCACTCTACCACCTGAGCCACAGCGCCACTTCCAGTCTTTTCTGTTTATGTGGTACTGAAGAATCAAACCCAGGGCTTCAAATGCTAAGCAAGCGTCTACCACTAAGCCACATTCCCAGCCCCCAACCTGTTTCTTTGTTGGTCATGGGGCTTGAACCCTAGGCCTGGGCGCTGTCCCTAAGCTCTTCAGCTCAAGGTGAGCACTCTACCACTTGAGCCACAGCACCATTTTTGGGTTTTCGTTAATTGGAGATAGTCTCATGGACTTTCCTGCCTGGGCTGGCTTTGAACCATGATCCTCAGATCTGAGCCTCCTAAGTAGGATTACAGGAGTGAGCTACCAGAGCCCTGCCCCAACCTGTTTTTAACTGTCCACTTTTTTTTTCTGGAGATTGTTGGGCTAGGCAGGGGTGTGAGGAACACAGGCTCACTGAGGCCAGGGCCTCAGTACTAGGTGTCTTTTTTTTTTTTTTTGTCGGTTGTGGGGCTTGAACTCTGGGCCTGGGCGCTGTCCCTCAGCTCTTCAGCTCAAGG